ACTACCACCACCAGGACGTGACTCGCTTTCAGGCGTGGAAGTCCTGCCTTTCAGTGCTGGGCATTCCCTTCCTCGATGTGGTGCGCGTCCTCGCCGCCGTCCTCCTTCTGGGCAACATTCAGTTCGACCAACAGGAACAAAGTAGCTCAAAAGACCAGCACAGGCACAACACTCAGCTGGACTTTAACGAGCCAACAAGCTCTTCAGGACAGAAGAAGGAGCTGCAGGCGGTGGCCAATCTGCTGGGTGTCTCAAGTACCACCCTCTACAAGGGCCTCACCACAGTGACCTATTCTGGATCTTCAAAATCAGCCAGTGGACTTCAAACGGTCCGCTCGAGGAGAACGACGGCCAGCTCCAAAGCAGTTCGCGACTCACTGGCAAAGGCGCTGTACATTCGCACCGTGGCCACCATCATCCGCCGGGCGAACTCCTCCAAACGAATCGGTTCCTCCTGCGGCACCACCAGCTCCGAGAGCAACGAGTCGATTCACAATACTGCCAACCACGAGACGGGAAGTAATCTGCATCAAGGGAGCCACAACAATGGCGGGGCGCCGGCGTCGAGCATCGGCTCCGCCTGCGGCAAGTCCTACCGGACGATGGCAGTGCTCAACAGCGCCGTCCGCTACGCCACCATGGACGGCTTCATCGGCATCCTCGACATGTTTGGCTTTGAGGACGGACGGGTGAGTTTTATCATTAAGATTACTGATTTCTAATTCGTATTTTGCACTCCAACACACAGCTAAGCCGTCTGGAGCAGCTGTGCATCAACCTGTGCGCCGAGACGATGCAANGCGCCGGCGTCGAGCATCGGCTCCGCCTGCGGCAAGTCCTACCGGACGATGGCAGTGCTCAACAGCGCCGTCCGCTACGCCACCATGGACGGCTTCATCGGCATCCTCGACATGTTTGGCTTTGAGGACGGACGGGTGAGTTTTATTTTGATCGGGTTGCTGATTTTAATTATTGTTTTTCAATCCAGCTAAGCCGCCTGGAGCAGCTGTGCATCAACCTGTGCGCCGAGACGATGCAGCACTTCTACAATACGCACATCTTCAAGGCCAGCATCGAGTCGTGTCGGGATGAGGGCGTTCGCCCCGACATTGAGATCGACTTTGTCGACAACGTTCCCTGCATTGACTTTATCTCCTCTCTGGTAGGTGGTTTCCTATTTGGTTGTTGCTGAATTAAGTACTGATTCTTCTGTTTTCATTTCAGCGAACCGGCCTCTTCAGTTTGTTAGACGGAGAGTGTCGGAAGAGCAGCAGCAGTGGCGGCAGCAGCCCCGAGGCGCTGGTAGAGAAGATCAAGGCGCAGCACTACGGCAGCCCGCGATACTTTGAGGTGGCCGCCGATTTGACCAAGGTTAAGGACCGAGGTCAAGAACAGCAGCAGCAGCTAAGCCGCTACTTTGGCATTCGTCACTTTGTGGCCGACGTGATCTACGACACGAGCCACTTTCTGGAGGCGAACTCTGACCGCCTCTGCGACGACATTGTCGCCGTCTTCCACAAGTCGCACTGCTCCTTTGGCTTTGTCAGCCACCTTTTTGGCGGGGAGCTGCGGCAGCTGACTCAGCTCAGCGGCAGTGCTCAAACTACCGGCAACGCCAAACAGGGCGTCCTTCCTCGAGGACTGAAGTTTCGCATCGCCCCCACGGCCTCACACTCTCCGGCCACCTCGCACAACCACAATGGCTCATCAGCTAATCAGCAACTACCAACAACCCTGACCGCCGACTTTCACAATCGCCTAGACAACCTCCTGCGAACGCTAGTGCACGCCCGACCGCACTTTGTTCGCTGCATTAAACTAAACGACCACGACCGACCGGGCCTCTTTGAACGCTCCTCCGTCGCCCGTCAGGTGCGCGCTTTGCAAATTCTTGAAACAGTGAATTTGATGGCCGGCGGCCTGCCGCACCGAATGCGCTTCAAGGCTTTCAGCGCCCGGTACCGCCTGCTGGTGACGCCCTCGCGCCTGCTGCTCCCCAACAAAAAGGTGGCAACCGCCACCACCGGTGAGGAGGAGCGCCTGCCCGCCGACTGTCGCCTCATTCTGGCGGCCTTTGAGCGGCGGCGGCTGGCGCTGGCCCTCGACGCGGGCGCCTTTGCCAACAGCGCCGCCTCCGTCAGTGCCGTCCTCGGGAAGAAGCACATCTTCCTCAGCGAGAGCGCCCGCCAGCAGCTGGAGCTGGTGAGGACGGAGCGGCGGATGACCGCTGCGGCCACCATTCAGACGGCTTGGAGGGCGTGGCGGGAGAGAAGGAATCAGCCACAACAATGGCCGCAGAAGTTTGCTCATCAGCAGCAGCAGCAGAATCATCATCTTCACTTTAACAGCTTGACAAAGAAGTACCCGGTGGCTTCGGCGATGACGACAAATATCCCTGGATCTCCGGCTAACGTCTTTAACGTCCACAGACCGGCTCGTCCTCAGCCGATCACCGGCACGCCGCCGCCACCTCAGCACCAAATTCACTCTCATATTTACCATCAACTTCAGCAGTCACAGCTGTCTGCAGAAGCACCACCTCCTCCACCGCCTTCCTCTCTTCAGTTTTCACCACCTTCTGAAGCATTAAAATCTTCAGTAGCAGTAGCACCTCTCACCTCAAACTCTGCCGCTGTTGAGCTGTGCGACTTTAACATGGTCCGCGAGACGTGCGCCCTCTTTGGCATTGACTTGCACACGCCCCCGCCGCTGCCGCCCGCCAGACCGTACTCCATTTTAACTAGTTTGACAGGAACTTTTAAATGCCACTTTCCGCAGCTGAGGACAATGCGCGCCGACTACGTGGACCCCAGCTCCAAGCGCCTGCTCCTCGCCAAGAATCAACAGGTGGTTGTGCTGGGAAACGCTGCTGGCGGAAGACGTGGCCTCCTCGTCGTTCAGCATCCTCAAACCTCCAGCTCGGCAAAGCCGTACCAGAACGCCGTCATTGAGGTGCCGCATCAGTTCTTTGACTCCTCAGTGCTGCAACTACCGCCGCCTACTTCTTCTACACTGCCAAGTGGTAAACTGGGCACTCTTTGTATTTGATTGATCACTACTGTACTGATTTATATGTGTCATATAAATTTTTTGTACACAAAGGCTACACACACACACACACCGGACAGATGATTGAGATGTTGAATTGGATCTTTATTGATAAAAATATGTATATATTGTCGATTAACGATACAACTAAGGAAAACTGTACTGCCTTTCACAGAGGACTCACAATCCACTGGGTGTGGTGAGGGAGTGCTCCCGTGAGTGCTGTGGTGCTGTTGGCTGGAAGAAGCTGGATCAAAGAGCATTCAAGTGATGATGTTTGCTGCGATCCACATTATTGTGTAGGTTAGGCTATCCCAGAATGTATTCTAAAACAAAGAAAAAGAGAGAAAGAGGTCAAATTTAATTAATTTTTTCATATTTTGTCCACCTGAAAATTGACTTACCGAGAATGAAAACGATAAACACTATGATCACCCCAACGATAGCTACTTTAATTTGCTTTTCCAGTCGAGTAGATTGGTTTTTCAATTCTTTCGCTAGTTTTGAAATGGCAATGCTTTTCGAGTCTAACAGGAGAGCCTGCTTCTCCAAATTGACGAGCTTTTCTTCGAACTCGTCATTTTCTTTAATAATGGATTTCATAGTCTCATTCATAAAATCAAGATTTGCGTTCTCTTTTCGGATATTCATTAGTCTGCAAATCAAACGTAATAAGACAATGTCACAAAGAGACTAGTGTCACTACTTACATTGCTTCCAGACTTTCACGATGAGCATCAAGCCCTTCTTCGCCGCCATTGCTTTGAGTTGGGGTAGAAATGAGGTTGCCTGATACCTCAACACCAGCTCCAGTGGTATCTTCCTCTGAAGAAACCTCAATGACAAAAATTTCTTGGTTCGATGAAGAAGCCATGGCTAGTTGCTTCAACGTTGAGTCAGAGTCACTTGAGTAAACAACAGCTCGCGAAATCTGAGCCTTTAATGATCGAGTGCTGAGTTTTTTTCTTACATATGTTGTACAGGTGCGATGCAGGGCTACGGTGGACAAAGTTGACTGACGAGTAAAGGTCAGTTGATGTAGGGTGTTCTGTGGAACGACTGTTGGTGTTGAAGACAAAGTCTGCGGTGGACTTGCAAACGAGTAGAGGAAAGAAGGTAAATCTTCTTCCTTCAGATAGAAGACGCGAGAACGAGAGTGACAGTGGAGCGGGTGCGACGGCTATACCTCCAATGCTTTTATACCGGCGACGCTGGTCGACGGTATAGTCAATGCGGGTCTTTCACAAAGTGCAGCGCTGCCACTCACGCTGTATTTACGCCCAACTTCCGCCGCCTGGTTGGGCAGTGCTTCCGGGGCCCTCCTTCCCACCATCATCGTCTCACCACGACACACCGAGCACACCAACTGTCATTCTCTTCTTTCACCCTCTGATACCCCAAAGTAAACGTCGAAGAAAACTATTGCTCCACAGCTTCTGCATGTTCCTGGTGAAAGACCTCCTGGTGAAACCACAAAGAGACCAGCACTCTCCCTACCACCTCCATACAGGCAGTTTGTCCGCTCCGGAAGACCCTGTTCCAATTGAGCCGACACTAGTTGACTTTTTATTTTCACGCTTACGTCATCCCTTTATTTCTTGTGCATTAGTCACTGCTCAAGTGCTGACTGCTCGTATTTCGTCCACTTGTTTTGCCCACATTCTCGATCGCTCGCATCTCACCGCACTTAACCTCCATCTCTTTCCATCTCTCACTCTCTCTTGACCTTTCACTCTCTTGACCATGACAGTAAGTACCAGATTCAAATTTTAACTCATTTGATTGTCATTTTTTGCTTTTAGTCAAACAATGTTAACCAAACGGGAGAAAATTCCCGTAGCTCAACAGATGTGAACTCCGCTTTAACTCAGAATCAAGACTTTAAAGCTTTCGAAACTGCAAAGGAGCATATGCAATTTTCTTATCTAGTAGTGCTTAACCTATGTAAGTTCAATTATTTAATAAGTGTAAAAAATCCATCATTTTTTAAAACATTTTTTGCTTGCAGACATGCAGTTATACGCCAAAAGGACGGATTTGGAAGAAAATCCAACCGATTTTGCTCTTATACGTCAAATGTAAGCATTTAGCCATTCAGCAACCACTGTATACATTATTTTCTTTCTTTTTCTTACACAGCAATGAGATTGTAGACATTATAAAAAAACATTTGATTGAATACAACTCCGAACAATTGGAGTTTATGAAACTTCAAGATTGCGTATTGAGTGCGCAGATCAGGTAAGACCCCTAGCAGCTGTCATCTGTTTTTAAAACTTTGTATTCTTCTAGAGCCGAAAAAGACCCAGAAAAACGAAATAATTTACTTGCCGCACAAGTGCGAGTAAATAATGACTATAATGAATTAATTACTGAAATGGTGCATGAAAAATGCAAAACATTTGCTCGATTGACAGCTGAGCAAGCAAATTGAGCACATTTGTACAATCTATGACAATGTTGAACAAAAAGCTGTCCACACTGAAAAAGTTTTGACAAATACGGCTTCAAATCATGTAAGTGTTGTGGTAGTAGTACCGGACAATGCCTAACTATCTACTTTTTTTCACCCATCTGCACAGAAAAAGTACCGCATGTATTCACTTTAAAGCAAAAAAGTGTTGTTTGTTTTCAATTGTCCATATCTCAAAAACCATTGAAGTTTTTTAAATTCTCCTTTTGCCAGAATGTTCCTTGGGCCTTTTTCTTTTTGGGTGAGCGTGTTAAAAATGCAAAAAGGGAACGCTTGCATGAGGCGGCGGATGTTTAAAGTGTACAAGCGATGTCTGGTGAGCCGCCGGTTAAGTTATTGCGAAACCCTAGCGGTTCACGATGCAAGGTGGCGAGGTCAAGCAGATTTGCTAGAAATGTAATGCTTAGGTTTAGTTGTGAGTGTAGATGTAGTTGTGGGGGGAAGTTTAAGAGTAGGTTTGTGGAGCGTCTATACTTGCGTCAGTCAAAATCTATTAATGGAACACCCGAAGATCCCCTAGTTTTAAATCGTCCATATCTCGAGAGCTATTCAAGTTTTTGAGATTCTGTTTTCACTAAAATATTCCTAGAATCTTCGTTTTTGGCTGGGGTTTATAAAAAATACAAAAGTAATGAGATTATCTACGCATGCACCATCGTAAACAGAAAAGCAAATGCTTGTTTTGAACCTCATCATCTTCAAAAGTCGATATCTCAAAAACTATTCAAGTTTTTTCAATTCTGTTTTCGCTAAAATGTTCCGGCGACCTTCCTCTTCCGAATGGCGTGTTTAAAAACTCCAAAAAGAATCATAAACGCTCTTGGTTAGGATCGAACTAACGACCTTTCGGTTAACAGCCGAACGCGCTGCCGATTGCGCCACAAGAGCTCCCATTCTGAAAGTGTTTTCCTGTCTAGAAGCCTTAAGCCTAAAGGGAAATTGCTTTTCACTGCCTGAAACCATTGCCAAATTTAATTAAAACTGCCAGTTTTTTGGACCATTTAAATTTATATTGTTTGAACTACAACTCTCTGAGTTTTTAAAGTAATCAGCAAGCAATCTAACTTCGACTGTTTCCACACACCACATCGGTCAGGCAGTAACTGCCAGTGCAGGTGTCATTTGCTGCCCGCCTTCGAGGCCTGCTTCTGCTGCGAAGGCAGAGAGAGTCTGCTCGGCCAGCCGCCACTTCTCAACGAGCTCACCACCGAGAATAGGCTGAAGTGAAAGAGCAAACACAGATAGAAACACTCAGTCGCAGAGCAGTCCTCGGGCCAATGCACTTTTGTGTGGAGTGTGCCTCTCTCTCGTTCAGATCTCCTACTCAGCAGCAGCAGCTGCAGCAGTTCCCGGGCCCTAGCTGGTCCTCTCAGCCGAAGCGGATTTTGATGGCGTTTTCCTCCCGCCACCATTTTTCTCGTTTGGGTGTCTCTTCCAGACACGTAGCCAACTGCTCAATGAGCAATTGCAACCACTGCCTACCTAAATAATAATACCTCTGCTTACCTGTCTCGCCGCTTACCTACCGTACTACTTATACAGCGTTTGGTCGCCCACCAACCACCTTTTATACCTCTTTGATAATCACCTTCATCACCTCCTCACTGACTAC